AAGTTAGACCACACAAGCTCGGATAAATCTGCATTTTCACGAGATGAGTCACATCGGTCGAGTAGACTAGCCAGGTCTTCTCCGAAGAAATTCACAGTATCATAACTTCACGTACCCTGGCTCGTTCACGAAACAATGCCAACGTCTTCCGAATGACACTGCAACAGGTGGGCTGTTGTTTATACTCAAGTTATTGACACCCTTGACCGGATAATGAATTTTTCCAGCCCTCCAAAAATCAGAACTATCTTACCTGCCGTCGTCATTGTCGTTTGCCTTTGTTCAGACGGTTGTTAGTCAGCACTCAATGAACTGAACGCGGACTGAGTGAAAACAGATCGATTATCGACGAGGTTAGAGTAGAAGCTGAGTAAAACTGACATGCAGTGCATGCGTGCTACGAACAATCGTCTGGTCTATCGACCGATGCTTTTAGTTTATTGACCCAACTTCTGCTCTGTCTTGCAAAGAGTTCTTAAGTGTTACGACCCAGAGTCAGACAGTCTGGCTTTTTGCCATGTAGTAGTCCGGTTGTCTAAGGACGCTTCGTCTATCTAATGATCCTTCTACAAGGATCTGCTGTGTGTTAGCTGTTCCTCTGAACTATATCTCCTACCACGAAAGATCCGCTAGGTTTTCCACAATCCTTGTAGTAGGTGAGGAAGAAAGTGAGAGAGCGCACTGAACCACTGTGTTGCCTTCTTTTGCCTGGCCTCAAACCTTGCATCCTGGAACACAGCTCTTGGGGCATGGTTATCCTCACCCAACTAGTGGATTTTCTAAATACTCATATGCCTCTTCATTACAACAACTCCGTTCGAGTTCGGATCATGTTGGACTTGATCTTTGACTTATCACTATCCCAACTGAACTGAATCAGCTTCTGGACTCAAGCCCTACGAACAGGTCGTCAAAATTTGTATTGCTTGTGATCAGTTAGGTGTTCAGTCACAGCGGGTCTCAGGAGGTTAGTTCACTTTCGCATGTGACATACGCACGTGCTTCTCACGTGTTTTTGCGGAAGCTGCTAATAGAGGCGCCACATAATCGATCCCGCTCTGTTCACTTGATGAGCCTGAACCTGACAGATGCTGTATATCCAAATGCTGATACTGGCTACTGATTCTCCCAAGTCAGGACCTACCGATCTCGTCGTTACTGTCGTCATCGACAGGAATATACCAGTACTCGATACAAGTGTCTAAATGCCATAACACGTCAGTGAATAAGTATGTGCTGCGGTGCTCCAGATACGGGGACCGATGTAACGCAGAGCTCCCGATTTGTTCGGTGGGGCTTCTGAGAAGTTTTCCTAATTATCCAGCGGCGACTGGCGATTGTCACACACCCCTGATGCTTTGCATATCGACTAGTGATTTCCCATAACTACTTCGCGCATGGTTTTGCGTGAGCGATTGTACTCGCACTCAGGCGAAGTCCGTTGCATTCAATTCCCACCCGTCTTGAGTGGTGGACCTCCAGTGAAGTTTTCATTAATGTGCAAGTTCCACTTCCTTAGTCCGCGAGTCACAGGTTCGATATCTTATGGAGTTTCGTGAGATGCACACTGCTGATGATTGCCCATAAGGATGAAACAGTAGTATAGTGTTTCTCGGCTTTTCAGTATAGATTGGCTCCACTTACAGGACGAAATCTCAGCTGCGAATCCATAATGTGACCGACTTCCTTTTACTTAGTAATAAAGGACAGTCCAGAGTTTATTATTCCTCGAACTGTAAATAACAAATCGCCATGCTTAGGATTTGGGCTTGCAGACAGAACGATAGACGCTAAGTTGCATCAAGCAGTTTCCCCCCTTATATCCAACCGAATTCGGTTGTACTACAGTTGCCCTACTACCATAGGGTGCTTGTTCCGAATGTCGCCCTCGGTGCGTTCTTGCATGGTCTGTCTCAGATGATGTGCCTGCGTCAACCCGATGGTTTCCAAGTTCGGTCAGTTCAGTCGCATGTGATGATCGTCAGGCGTGCCCAAGACGATGCATACGTCTTTTCATCGCGGCGGGAACTTGCTTTGACAGTTTTTAGCATTCGAAGAATTAGGATACCACTCTAGTACTCTGGGCGTAGAGGATGAATACATTCGGCAGTTTTGTGATCCATTCGCATCAGTCAATTTTGCTGTTTGAAAGCTAATTACCCAGCAGGACCGCCTCCAAGGCGACCGAATTGTTATTCCGAAGCTCAGTAGAGGGGAGCATTGTAGTCAAAAACACGCTTTATAGTCCTTATTGCTATGTGGATCAAGGCTCTGGCCGTTGTGAACCAAGTGCTTTAAGGAATTTTCATCGTTTGATGATCGGTACTTTCAGAGTCTGGTGGAAGACATCTGATCCGTACTACTGTGGTACGTTGACTCACTTTCAGGGAAGCTAAATTGCTCGGACTGCAGTCCACTGATTATGGCGAAAACTGGTTATTCATGCATTGACATCAGGATAAGTACAGAAATAGTTTTTCACAAGTTTGCATGTTTGTATGGGCAAACTTGTAATCTTTTGGTTTTCGTTTCACATCTCACTCGTGTGGTAATCGACAACAGATCACGTGGAAACGTCTCGATAGCATCCAAATCAGTCACCAGACACTATGGCGGCTAACCGATCCCATAGGTGTTCAGGTTGTCATTTTCTGTCCCTGTTGTCTGACTGGGTGTTGGAAGTGTAGGGTGTTTGTGTTAGACTAACCCAAGGTCTCCACCCTGACTGATTTTTTTCTTCTTTTCCATTACAAAGCCTTATTCAAATAAATAGACATGCTTGTATGGCGGTGAAGCGCAGATGCTCTCATCTGGTGTTACTCTCGATGATTGTGATGATCCAGACTCAACAGCATCTCACTGCGTCTCACTTCAGAATGCAATAGGTTACCATGCCCACCACGCGAATGGTTTGCTTGGTTAGCTTGATTCCACTTGTGGTTGCAATCCAGCCCGACTCAGCGTATATTTTTTTCATCCTGCTCACCATCAAGTTACACCTGGTTTGATGCTAAGCGCTAAGACTCTTCACATTCCACGACTCACGCATAATTCCGTGCCTTATCGCAATTATTCACTCGCGTCGGTGTTTTTGTTGTCAAAGTTGTTTACTACCCAGCTTCCGTCCGCCAAGCGCTAATTGGTAGGAGGCTTATCACCGCTTGCATGAGTGTTTTTGTCGTCAAACGCAGACTGGCGTTTGGAACGCCGTCGGTCTCAGAAATTCGGTTGGTGAGAGCACAAAGTAGGGAAAGCAGAGTAGAGAAAACTGATGTGCACACCTATGATGGGGTTGGGTTCATTGATCATTTGTACTGGTCGTTTTCTGAGTTCGGCGTTTCTTATTACACGTTCTCCTCGATTCAACCAAAAACCTACCAGGGACAAAGTTACCTGATATGTAAGTAAGGGGGTTAATGACAATGCTGTGAACTGTTGGCTACTTACTGTTCGCAAATGTCTGTTTTTTCGGCGAGCTTAGTCACGAAGCGTTTGTGACTGATCTGTCGTGCACATCAAGAGGCTCACGAGCACTGCACGGTCGCTTCATCCTTACACTCTCGAGAAGACTGGACTACATCACCACAAGACCTCCGTAACCCTTGTGACAAGCACTGATACTTGTTGGTCAAGCGTTAGACTGTTGAGTAATGGTTTAGCGGTTGTGCAGAACAAGCAGTGACAATCTGGTGTTGATTTTTTTCTAGAAACCCTTACTGTTTTGACCGTATACCGCTATCTGGTTCTTTTTTAGCTGAAGACTAATTCAGGACTTTAAAATGTTTCGATAAAAACTTCAAGATGGCTCGGTGTCAAATTAAGTTGTCCCGAGGATTGCTCAAACTGACATGGAACCCGAGGAATTACACTCCTTTCAAGGCACACTCACCTCACATCCATTCACTGTATTTTATCGAGACACTTTAGTATACCTCCCAATTTTTCCATCGAGAGACCCGGGGTTTCTCAATGTAAAAAGGGCTAAGTGAGCATTTTCGCCACCTCACCAAACTTGGGCAAGGATCGCAAGATAAGGTTTTTCATCAACACTTTCTATCCTAATGAAGTAGCAAAATGGAGCTTGTTGGTAGTATCAGGGGCGGTACTAGCCAATCAACGCGTGATGTGATTGAGGGACGAATGGTGCTGTATCTCGTCCAAGTGTGAGTTAATCACACTCCTGATCAGCCGCCCGTTTAAGTGACCGGGGGATCGCGGATCCGGAACTCTTTTGAGTTTCGTGAGATGTGCACTACAGCTGGTTGCCAGTAGGGACAAAGCAGCCGCACAATTCCTGGCCTTTCAGCATAGATTGGCTTCACGTACAATGCATGTACAATGAATCCGTATCGGCCAATTTATGTCACATACAGTCGAGAATAGTCACTGTGGTTGATGAAGTGATTCTCCAACGTGACAGGTGGCCAGCGTAGCGAAGGTTTTTCGATTCTGATGTTCGAGGGTAATACTTCAGTTCACTACCGGACCCTCGGCAGATACTCAAGAGCACTGCAGCATATGTGTAGGTTAAACAGTCTGGTCGTCCGCATGCCCCTGATGATGATTCATCCCACCGGTACACATGGTCGTATTGGTGACAAGGGTTATGAGCACGGATGTATCACACCCAGCTGCCACGTTGCTGTTAGCTGTGCACTTCTCGTACCATTTTGAACACTTGCTGTGGCTGCGTTTGTGTTTGTGCGATTAGACTTCGATCCATTAGCATTTTGTGACCTTCAGATCGCGCCCCTGCAGTCGGTTTGCCAGTTGTCACAGGAGTTACTTCAAGATGGTGGTTGATACCTTCCCTTTTGTGACTCTTCTCCACGAAGAGCAGAAATGAAGGTGAAAGTACCGGCTGTCTTAATTATAACAGACTGTTTTTCAGACGCGTCGGTGTACATCCTAAATGTCACTTTGACTATTCCTCTTTGTAGCTGGTGGTAGTAAATTATGCGCTCACCACGGTCATTTTTCTCGTTTTCGGTCATATTCAGCTTATCGAAAGCAGACAGTTCAATCGAACCCTGGAATTTCCGCTGGCAGACCTGTTCAACCGCTTCTCACTTCGAGCAAGCTTCATGTACTTGGATTCGAGACGAAACGAACCCGCTGTGCTTATCGAAGCGACGCAACAAAGTACACACGTGTTGTGCGTGGAGTCTATCAAGTGTCCGGAGACCACTACAACTCCTGTCCTTGTTACAACGCAGAGTGCAGTGCTTCTGTCTCCAGCCCAGCAATCCCAGATTGCTGCGGATTCGGAATCAAACGAGGCCAAACCAACTCAGGTGAAAGATATTAGCGGAGTCTCAGGTCTGGAATCTAAACGAGCAGATAGTTCGGGAGAGCCGTTTTGGGATGCCCTGTTGAACGGAACAGAGGCGAAAAGCTGGTTCCTGGCTACTGTCTCACTCTCTTGTCTCTGTTTTCTTCTTTTGATCCTCCTCCTCATATCATGGCTCTATATTTGTCGAATACGTCGGTTGTACGCCAGACGCCGCTGTCGTGGTACCTGCCGTTTTGGATGCCGTTGTCCCATTGAAGTGGTTCGACAAACGGTGAATGATGCAGCTGTTTTTGGGCCGCTAGACTCACAGAACGCCCAGCTATTCACAAGCCCAATGACTCCTCAGGGCAACGGATCAATACGTAGTGGCAGTGGATTTGGTGCTGCATTATACTCTGGTGGAACAATGACTTCAAGCCGATGGGGTTCAAATGGGGGGACAAAACTGGGATCACCGATATACGTATCTTTGGCAAGCGCTCCTGAGAAAACTTCCTTGATGGCACCCACTACCAACTGCCTCGTCGGCCCAGTAAGGACAATGACCATAGGTCCCGGAGGTTTGGACACGTCTAACGGAGGTAGCACATGGGGCCAACCGAACAATCCCCGTCTCCCAGCGCATTCTAACCGACGGCGGCTATCACAGGATGTGATTTGTCGCAGCACGAGCGATGGATCCACTGTTTCTGGACATCCTGTTTCGAACACTTGCTCCAAAGTCATCGGAACCAGTCACCCAAGATCCGGACTGGTCATAGGACACGGCTACATCGGTAGCTGCTCCAATACAAACAACAATAATTGCATCAGCTCATCTACAGCTGTACAGCCAGTGCTGATTAATAATGTGAATAATGGTCAACTGGACTCTGTCGGTTATTATCAGCCACCTCCAACAGTGTACAACTATTCAGATATGGCTGGTGGTGGTGGTGGACGTACAGGGGGGATCAGCCCGTCGATGACACAATCTCCAACACAGTTGACAAATCGCAAGTCTTCCGACCGCGTCTATTACGGACAATCATTGAACCTCAGCGCCGGATCACCGGGACCTGTGGTAGAAGAGGACGAGGTGGAACACACTTCTTCATTCTTTCCACTGGACCAGTTTCATGGGACTTCTGAGAATCATCAGCTGGCAGGAACTTGCAGTACGTTCAACTCTTATGCCTCTGGTAAGTCCTTCAATTTGGATTAAAGATTACGTTTGCCAATGGCATCGGTTTTGACGGAACCTGATCATACCACATAACGGATACTGTGGTGGCACCGCGTCCTAGATTCGTCATTACCGCGAGCTCTAAACTTTTTCGATTGTACTCAATCATACTGTCGTGTGAGACAGAAGTTTATCCAGACTGCGGTATCGTCCTCCCAGCGGGTCGACTCTCATGGTCAAATGAGTAAAACCTTTTTAAGCTTCAGACAAATTGCATGATAGTATGCAGCTAGCTTTCGTTTGCATACCCGAAGTGTCTTTCACTGACATTCACGAAGAACTTGGGGATTTTGAGGAACATTGAGGCCCTGAGTGCAATCATTCGATACACTCGGGCATCTCAAAGGTACTACCAGCTTGTCGGATGTGACGGCTTTTGCATGCCTCAATCCCATCGGATAACTTTATTTAACAATTTCACTCCCAAATGTGTCATCACACGTCATTCTACTGGACCGTATAGTCAAATTCTCAAATAAGCGGTCTACCCTGAAAAGCCACCCAAACTTTCAAACTGCATGGATCTTAAGCATTACTATTTCAATGCGGTTAGTTGGGAATGTTTGCTGCGCAAATCCCAAATCCCGAATATCAATAGATTGTCTGGCTGCAAAGGTTTTCAGTGAGATCATGGAAACGAGGTGTTCTGTCCACGTTCTAACGAGTCCGGGATCGAAGTTCAGCTAAATAACCACTGGAAATCGGACGAGCGACATCAACTGTTCTCCAAATCGAATGGACGGCTCCGCACCTGGAACAAGGTCGACGATCCTATCCACCGTTCTGGTTAGATGGATGACAAAATCGACGTGCTTGTGAATTAACGAGGTGACGACCGATGGAAGAATTGTTGCCTCCCCGTCAGGCACTCAAGGTTAATCGTGTTGTACCACTGGACCACACGTATAAGGTGATGTTGTATGGCAATAGGTGTTGGTTCAACACAATTGCCGATGAGTGTCGGCAACCAGTCGATAACGATAAGACACGTCCCGGAGACAGTGACAAGTTAGATGACAGACAGCAAAGCAGAGTAGATCAGGAATTCGAAATGAGACTACTCAAAACTGCTCCGTAGCGTAACATCAAGTAATAGGCACTACTATTCCGTGCAGGAACGCTGAATTCAAATATTTGTTTATCCGTTTCAGCTGCAACAATCGTAGTGGGAGAAACCGAAAACTTGATGGGTTTTGTGCGCTGATTTCCAGACCACACAGACGGTTTTTTTTAACCTGCTAACCCAAACCAGTTTGTTTATGGATAACGAAGTTTGCACTTTTGGATATCAGGCCAGATTGAGGTCACGTCATTATGCGTCCTCTGGTACCAAGCAAGTCTGAGTTCGAACGGGTATTTTTGATACTAAAACTATGGGATCATTTTCTTTGGACAAAGTGACCCGCAGATACTGTCATTAGTGCCTGATTACTATTCCTGGTGGTCTTATCATACAGGTGCCTGCCATAACACGACAACTGGTAGAGACGAGTCCAACCGATGTTATTTACAAACCGGGAAATGTGCACGGCTTAAGGAAGCACTCGAAAGTTGGTGGGTCTGGAGAACCCGTTGCCGGACTGAATTCACGTCCCGCGAACTGTTTCCGTTAAGCTATCTATCTGTCTATCCAAGAGTAGATCATGGAGTGGGAGGATCATCCAAACTATTCTGGGAAAAATGATGGCATGAACGGAACTCTGAGAATCATTCAGAACACTAAGATCATGCAATTACGAGCGTCATATAGCTTGTCAGTTAATATCCTCTTTGGTAACGAGTTTTCAGAAAAAATGCGTCTGCGATAAGTGTTTTGAGAGTGGCCAAAATAACGCTATTCGTCTTAATTGGCCGCAAGGTTTGGAGGATGAGATGGGTGAAGAACCAGTTCCACAATGATACTTCAGTGCGATTAGCCGATATACCAATTCGACCGGACCAAGCATGCAAGCTGGGAAGTGTGCAACACGTATTAGACCATTTCGTTGATCCTAGCGATAACCACAGTTGACCTCTGTTTGGTATGCGTGCTACGTCATGATCATCAGTGCAGTTTTTCCGTTTTTCGTTGTTAGTCCTTGACGATCTGTACTCCAGATATGGACACAACATCACTATATTTGAGTCGATTGAGGGTCACTATTCCCATTCTCGTTAAAGAAGGCAAGTATGCTTGCAGAGTCGTTGGAATAGGCGCCTGATTCATTGCAGCGAAAGTTGCTTGATAAGTTTCCTGGCTACTAACCCCGAGTCGGTTTCCGCCCAGATCAAACAGTCAATGTAAGCTGCATATGACGATACTAGACGGAAGTTGCTGAGAGCGATAACCATGAGAAATGTGACATGTCTATTGTGTTAGGCACGTCAAACAAGTGCTTCGAGGTCCGTCTGCATTACAAACGCATGAAATTGGGAGGGACCTCCAGCTGACTAACGTGCACATTGAATAGAAAACAGCGCTGTGTAGTGATGGCAAAAAGTGCGGTCAAGATGTCTGGGTTTGCTATGAAAAAAAGGAGACGCAAAGTATCCGAACCCGGGACGGATGATTTTGATTGTTTGCTTGCATCAAATGGCTTTATTCGCATCTGCGCGTCGTTCGGTGAACTATGAGAATTTCTAAAAGGTTCCTATAAGTATAATTGATGTGAACACCTATTCAACGTGCCTGATTAGGATGCATTTTGCCGCGGTAGTTTTCCGAATCGGAATTCACTTTATGAGTTGAGACGCCCGATGAACGGAGTACACCCACCGAATGTCAAACGGACAGTTTACGTTAATCGCGCACAATTGGCTGGCGTTCATTACAGATAACACAAGCAGTTTGTGCGAAACCGGACGTGCTGTCGTCTGTGATGAAAATCCCAAGCAACGGCAGGGCTGGTGGACAAACTCACCAAAGCCTGTTGGGATCCATCAGGCGACCCAGTCATGATGATATTACAGTGACTAGTTGTACTAGCATTATCCGCCAATTACTAAACTATTATCCATTTTTGAAGAGCATGGTCACAAACATAGAAAGTGAATGCACGTGACAAATGCGAAAGGGTAACGGGAGAATATGAGAGAAAAGAGATAAACGTTTTAATCAATTGGAAAGGGCTTGGAACCGAGTGAGAAGTCATCGTTTCAGAAGAGCTCTTCTGAAAAGAGAAACGTCTCATTCGAATTCATGCCACCAACAGTTCCAGTACCTAGTCTCGCATACCCAATGTGATAATATCGTGCATGCTAGGAGTTGCCATTGGTGCGCGCTCCATAGCTCACATCATTCAAAACTGTCATGTGGCCATTTCAATGTTGAATTTGTACTAATTGATGAACTATTGGGGTTTTGTTCGGGTAACTAAATTGTTGACTGTTCGGAGAATGGAAAATGGTCTTGTCAAACGCAGGAAGTACCGGCGAAATTTTGCACACCGCCTATCGCGGTCTTCCATGATTGAATGTTGAACTTTTCCATATCTTCAAATAACGAAGATGGCGAAGTTATCATTTCTCCACTGTGAACGAGCTACCGAATAGTATGAACATTTTTGAGAACGGGGATAGGTACATGTACTCAACAATTTTACTGGTTTTTTTATCGCATTCAGATCCCGTGCAACGGACTAATCCCTATCCATTACGTGAATCGGAGGGGGACCTGCTAAACATCACACCACCATCGGGATTCTATGAGCCGAATTCCACTAGTGGTGACTCCGGGATGGTTAACGGGGGTCTCACGTCATCCAGCATTCGGTCCAACAGTCAAACTGGCCCCACTACTTTCAGCACACGTTCTTTCCTCTCATCCGTCAATCCCAAACTTGGCAGTACAATGGGCCAGGCAGATTGGAAACCAGTTCCCATGACTTCAGTATCTGGTCAGTCCTCCGGAGAAATGGTTGGCATGGTGGATATGGAGAGCGTCTCACGATTACCCATGACGAACAACGGTGCAGATCAGTTCCAAAAGAAAACCGCCTCTCTTACCGATAACAACAACTTATCAACCGGTTTGATTCAAAATCAAAATCAAGTTCCACCCCACAGGATTTACACCGCCTACGAGCGCATGCTCTAACTTTCCTTCCAGTGTGGATAGTTTATACTTTCTCTCTCTCTCTCTCTCTCTCCCATCGCTCCACTCTCCTCCCTCTATCCTATTTTCCGTTTTCTATGCTTCCTTTCAGTTCAGTTCGCTTTGCTATCTGGGCTTATTCTTGTTCATCACCGAGACAGTTTAGGCAGAGGCACCTTTTACAGTTGCTGCGAAACACTAGGGTTTTTTCCTTGGTGAAGCATCTTGTACATACATACCGCTCTGATTGTTTCTCTCCTTTAAGTATACAAGTACTTAGGATCATGGCTTTCAGCTTTTTCAACTAAAGAACTAGGTGTTTTAATCCACCCTCTGTCTAGGTAATTGACCTACCGCCCAGCGCCGTTTGCATTTACAGTACCCATCTAACTTTATTTTGTACCGTGATGTTTTTGCGGTTATCCACAAAGCTCTTGTTCATTTTGTGTTCTAGCGTATAGGTCTTGCAGGTGCACATCTCTTAAAGTGATTTCATTCGCTTGAGTACACTGCCGCTGTCCTCACATTGCTGTAAATTCCGGTTCGTTTTGCCGTTTTTCACACACCTATCCACTTAAATCATGGTCTGATTCTGGCTTCCCACCCTCTTCGATACTTTTGTCTGGGTCCCACTCATGGCCCGAAAAACTGGCGCGTGATACAACACTGCCAACAGGATCTACCTACTCATCCATCCTGGAATTCATTCTTTCATCTTTTTATCTCGTTCGTACAGATTGATAAGTTGATTCACAAAAATTACATCTATGCCCTAGTAACTTTCAAATTGTGTCATACCTTACACTAGGTCATTATCCATTGGACAAGAAGAGGAAGTGTAGGCCAGCGTCGTCTTGAACCAATCACGTGCTAGTTCAGTCCGATCGATAATAGAATTTCTGTTCGCTCGGACTTGAAAAGTGCCATGCCCTACATAGGTACTGTGAATGTCAGAAGGCTGGTGATTTAGCACTACTCATCCGACAGCACCACACGGGAACTAACGGACAGCTTTGTCGAGCTTGATATGCAGATTTCTGTCGGAGTGTTTGGGTTGTAAATGAGGCCAGAACCAACATAACGTCGTTCACAATTTCCTGAAATCGTTCTCCACACTATGGTCTCGACCGACAGGACAAATCCAATTTCCGCCCCACTGAACAGCAGTCACCGGAACCAGCATCCAATGTGCAGGTCGCGTGAATTTAGACGGGCTATGTTTAATGTTTCGACCACCGCCTACCGGCAAATCCGTTTCATATCCCAGCTTACCATGCCTGTGCGCGTACACAGGAAATCATAATGCACCCGTTTATTGGCCTCACGTAGTATGTGGTTAGAGGTATTCTCCAAATATGCTCTTCACACGCCAATTTTATTTCTGCTCAATGCTCGCGTTTTCGGGCAATGAATGGCTGTCCGGTACGTGTGGTGCACGATGGCTAATTTGTAGTGTGGGTCTGAGTCAAATACCAGGCTTTATGGACGTTCTTTGGTCAAAGTAGAATTGATTCCCACAAACTGAAGGCATTTTCTGCAGCCACAGCTCGAGTAACTCGAAAATCTCGTCGTTGCGAAGATCCATCTCCTTGCGATTGATGTTATCTCCTCCCCCCGCACACAACCCAGGTATGTTAAGTCAAGTGGCCATCTACAACCTACAAAAACGTGTTCTTTGAGGCTGTTGCCCCCTTTTTTTCAAACGTCGCGCGGTCGATAAGGCCTAGAATCTTCACCTGCTGAAAATCCGGACGAAGCGCATCGTGTCATCAGTATACGGGTTTCGGACACTCTTAACAACCCGTTGGATGCAGTAGGTGAGACTATATACTAGCCAAATCGAGCATGCTGTGACGATAGTCTTGTTCAATCTCTTGCACAGCAGGGGCTTTGCTTCCGATCGCCGCTGAAGGCCACATCCTGTGCCTCTACCTTACTCTCCAGTAAACAATGCAGTAACTGCATTTGCCCATACCTTCTCATCCGACTTGGTATGTGCTTCATGGCCCATGAAGCGTGTTCGTCATATGGTCACCCGCAGCTTTCCTCTGGTGTCGATTTTCCAGTCGAACGCGGTCATCTTACGCTGAAAATTCACTTCTATGTATACAGGCTTTATCCGTAGCGTGCTTTCATCGAACATGTAAGTCAACGCGGTTTGTGTATCTGTCCTTGTGATAAACTTATGGACGAAATACGCTTCTGCCGTATTTAAGGTGTCGCCAGATCATCTTAGGATTGTGTGTAGTGCGGGTGTCCATGGACTACCCAGCCGTACGAATCAGAATAAAGCACCGACCAATACAATGGTTCATATGTTGTAAGTCTATGGTGAGGACCTTCTTTCCCTCCAGTGCTTCATATCACATTCAGTGAGGATACCCCAGTCCTCAAGCAGAAGTAACGGGAGGTTCTATTAGGCCGTTCACCACCGGGAACCTTTTTTACGTCATATATACGATGCTTTCCCCGAGTTGTCTCATGGTCTTTGTACATACGTACAAAGACAATGACGTACGAGTATTGTTCACTCGTCACCGCCCTCACAACTGAGGGGAAAGAAGTGTGAGGGGAAGGGATGTGGGATCTCAATGTCGACACGTGACTAACGTCGAGCTTATAACCATCGGACGTCAAAATCGCGTAACTTTTAACAAAACGAGGCGTGATCAATAGAAGTGAGATTCTCGGTGACCGGTTGCGTAGTCCACGTGACTAACCGGTTAATAAAATTGTGGATTGGGTACATCTTGGCTGCTTCATCTGTTAGAAACACAAGATGTCATCAAAGAGTCCGGTGAATAGGATTCCTGAGTTAGGAAACCGGCTTCTATCATGTGAGATCTAAAAAAACTATGGTATAAACTAACCTGTTCAACTGAAGTTTCGTGATAGATCACCCAGTTCACACCAGCCTGTATTGGCACTGATACTTAATTTCATTCCACTTTTCCCGGCCTCGTTGGGTTGGATGGGACGCAAACAAATTTATGGTTATTTTTGTCGCCTCGACAGCGGGATAATTAGACCAAATACCAGCCGTTTGTGGACAAAATGGACGACCGGGAGCCATCAATTTTACCGACTAACCCTCACATGACCGACATTTTAATCGCATGGGAGATGTTCATTATCGAAAAAGTTTGCGGACTCTGTTTGCTCGCTTTCTTGACTAAAAACAAATATTTGTTTGTGGCGCCGGACATCCATTTTCATGTGTGAGAAAATATTAACCAAAAAGGGACGTCAAATGTTTCGGTTTTCGTTCGTTTTTCTCACGGAAATAACCTCTTAAAGAACTCGCTATGGGTTTCAGAGGGGTTTGGTATTTTCGGTGGATTTATCGCTGGGCAAGGTTTCGCTTTTGACACAAAAGCTTCGTCAGGCGAAGTAAGTAGGTTGATTGGGTATTGAATACGGCTAACATTAGAGTAGCTTACCAGAAGGGGAAAATTTTACGCTCGGTGTTGGTGCATTTGAAGGATCGCCTTCCAGTTAATAGGACTAGGAACTGTGTATACAAAATAAAATGTAACGACTGTACGAAGGTTTATATAGGTCAGACAGCCAGGGAATTGCACACCAGAATCGGTGAGCATGAGCGTTCCATTAACAGACCACCGAGAAACGCAGAGGAATACAAGGCGTTAGTCAAGCATTCAGCAATGACAGGGCGTGCTCTAGAAATTGGGCATAGGATAGAATTAGAAAATGTGGACATCCTGGGACGGAGTTTAAGATTCACTCACA